GGCCTCCGACCTAATACCGATGGCGTCCGACCTAATACCGATGGCTCCAACCTAATAGCGATGGGCTCCAACCTACTAGCGATGGGCTGCAACCTACCCTGGAAACCTATTTAAGGGGTACCCTTATTTAAGGAGTCTGCACTTAAAAAATGACACCTTAAAAAGACACCTTAAGTTAAGGAGTCTAGACGCGTTAACTTGTTTGGTGAATTGGTGAAGAAATCCTTTAGAGGATGTGCGTCAAATCCTTTAGGGCATTGCAAAATTTGGTGTGAAGTTGGCTGGCATCCTTTATGTGTGAGGGGTTGTCATGCTCAAGGGTGGAGTGGACAGTCCAAAATGGACAGGAGAAAGAATGAAGCCTCAATAGAGGATTTGTGTAAAGTTTTGAAGCTTGCGCTTCCCAATGGTGTTAGTGCTGCCTTCAAAGCAATGTCGATGGAGGAATTGGCGCAGGAACATGAAGAACTGCTCAAAGAACTGCTTCTTTTGACTTGCAGGCCTAATGCTAAATGGCTGCACACTGGTTTGCGAAAAGCTTTCCAAAAGCTAGAGCCAGAGCTTGCCAGTGATTTCAGCAAGAAATTGCATGAGGCTGCCACGTACTGCTTTGAGAAGTTCAGGTCCCAGGTTGAAGTTTTCAGTTCCAGCCAAAAGGATTTGCAAGCTCCTAGGACCAAAGCAGAGAGGTGTGTGCGGCAATTGAAACAAGATCCCTTGCATTGTTGATTGAATATTTTGTACTTTAATTTTTTGTTTTGAATTTGTTTGCGCTCAGTGTGGCAAACCAATTTGTGAAGGAAATGAGCAGCCCTACCAAGAGGAAGAAGCCTGAGCTGAGCACAGCAGAAAGCATTTCAAGCATGTACCACTTGCTCGATGGCCAAGGGGCACAATTGGCAAGCAGCAATGGTTTCCAAACCGGCAGTCCCTGCAATGGCCACGGATGAATTGGTGGTTTCTTCCAGTGAGGAGGATGTGCTTCCAATTGGCAACCCACCAGGTCCAGCCAAGGTTTTTTGGTACGATGCCAAGCTGCAGGCTGTAGTGAGGCATGACCAGGGCAGCTTGAAGCAGCTGTCATGGACACTGATGAGAAACCAGTTCAAACTGAAGTGCCCAATGCTTTGTTGTTGCTAATGCTGAAAAAGCCTGCCCAAAATGGCAATAAGGGCAAAGCCAAGGCTAAAGCCAAAGGCAAGGCTAAAGCTGCAGGCAAGGCCAAGGCTAAGGCCAAAGCCACCGGTGTAAGCTTTGTGAAGATGTACTATCTCAGTGGCTACGCTGCTTTGAGGTATAGTGGTGGTGGTTCTCAATTGTTTCACTTTGGAGGTACAAATTATAAGACAGCTGATCTGTACGAAATTTTGGACATGGCCATTGCTGAGCTCAAGTCCAAGAAATTGGCTCCTGAAGAGGCCAAGGATTTTTGCTTCAGACAACTGGAGCAGCTAGAGGGTTGACTTTCAAGCACAGCGATGTGGAAAAGTAATTTGGCAAACTGGTGGATGGCCATAGATGGCAACTATAATGGCAGCAGATGTGCACCAGTATGTGTACCATATCTGCAGTTTTTGGTTCAAAATCTTTTTGGCTATGGCGTCTCAAGCTTTTGACCCTGGTTTTCGGCCTTCTTCTTCATATGAAGAGCTTCTAACCCAGCTAGACCCTGAGGTCCCAGATGCAATTGCAACACCGCTAGACCCTGAGCCTGAGCCTCCTGCTCATGAAGTGGACCCTGTCAAAAAAAGGAAGGCTGAGCAACCTGAACCGGACCGAATGAAGTGGGTGGGCGACCTATGCTTTGTGCAAAGAGGTCTTGGTGGATGCCTGTGCGCCTGCCATGCTCTGAAAGAGCACTATGAAGCAAAGTACACTGCTCACAGGAAGTGATATGGCCTCTTGAATAGCAGCAGGGTTTTTGAAGTGAAAAAACTAAGGAACCCCACACACACACACACACACACCATTTCTGCCACTAAGGAATCCCAACCCATTTCTGCAACTGGTCTCAGGTCCTTGCCACTTGTGTCAGGTCTTCATGGTCTTGGAGACAGTCTTGGAGGAGCCTGGCCAGAAGCAGGTGCAAAGGGAGTTTGTAGGAACCTGATGTGATCTTTTGAGAATCTTGTATAGGGTTGTGTAGGCCAGCTCTGCGTGTTCTTTGTTAGAGTTGCATGTCATGTGTAGGATTATGATTGGTAAGGCAATGAGGTGGTTCCTGTGGAGGAAAAGCTTGGCAGGCCCTTTGTAGGGCAAAAAGCTGCTGCCATCCTTTGCAGGTGGAATTCCTCAGGAGGAACCAGCGGTCCTCTTGAGGAATGCTGGGAGCCATCTGCAAAGAAGAGTCTTTTGCAGGACTTGGTTTCTTGGCAGCTCTTTGGAGGGTTGTTTGTGACTGCAGCAATTTGCAACTCGAGTTGAAAGACCGCATCCCATTCGAGCTTTTTGCTGACTGCAGCCTAGCTTGCATCATGGGATCCTTGCCATCGGTGGTTGCGGAACCGACTCCAGAGGCCAGCGCTGACTTCTGGAGCCGCCAATTGGCCAGAGAATATGTTCATGTTCAGGCCATTGCTGCTGCAACTGCCAACTGCTGCAGGGGATGCCAATTGGTTGAGGCTGCGCGGAGTTAGCGGACAGCAAAGCTATTTCCGCCAAAACATATGTCTCAAGAGTCTCAACCCTGTTGGCAGCCTATCTTTCATGCACATGCCTGCAGTGGAGGTTGGCCAGCGACTCCAAAGCTGGGGTGCCCAAGCAAACAATCAGGTGGCCACACCAGAGCAGTTGGAGGCAGCCAAAGCCAAGAGGATTGCACGAGCACTTGCTGCTTCAATTGCTGCGCCTGCCTCAACACCTGCCTCAGCATCGGCCCCGAATCAGGGAGGAACATCTGGTGATGGTGATGGCAGTGGAGGGGGCACTGCATACTATAGATCCAAGACCGGAGGTGGACAGAAGAGGAAAAAATGGATCCAGGATGTAAAGCAGGGAGAACAACCTGGTGGGAGCAGGATGGCAAATGGCACTGGCAATGGGAGAAAGTTGACAGCACAGCTGACTCAGCAAAGGCATCCGGTGCGCAACCTGTACCTGCACCAGCTGATGGCCAAGCTGGCGCTGATGGCACTGCAGCTGATGCCTCAGAAAAGCCATCCAGCGCGCCTGCAGCTGCACCAGCTGCTGATTATGATGGCACTGGAGCTGCTGCCTCAGCGAAGCCTTCGATGGCACCTCCAGCTAAGAAGCCACCAATTGCTCCAACACCACCAGCTAAGAAGCCTGATCCACCGGCTCTCCCAACAGTTCCTCTTCCAGTAGCAGGGGACCTCCTCTTCCAGCAGCAAGTATGGATGAGGTCAGCCGTCACCCACTTTCTGGCCAGGCCTGACTGGCACAAACCAGAAATCACCATAGATCCAAGGGTGAAAGTCAAGCCCATGCCTCCACTTCCACCATGGAGACAGCGCCCAGCATTGCCTGCTGCATTCCTCCTGCAATGCCCAAAAGCAGCGGTTTGGCAAGAAATGCGCCAATAGAGCCAGCACCTCCTGAACCTGAACCTGAGGGGGAGGGCAGCGGCAGTGATTTGGACTGATGGCAGCTATGGCCAAAAGTTGAAAAAGACAAAGAACAATCCAGTAGATTGTTCCTTTAACGGATTCACACAGATGAAAACAATAAACAATAGCTCAATCCTTTGAAGGACTCAGAACATGTCTCAGAGAAAGATTAAAAAAAGTGCCAATGGCTCTTTTCCAGTCACTGTTGAGAAACTTGTCTTCAGTCAGTTTCAAAGCTGTTGGTGTGATCTGTCTCTTCTGAGGTTAAAACCTTCTTCAGAAGCTGTGGTGGGCCAGGATCAAGCAGCTTGGCCCCTTCAAGGGTTCAGACAGCACTGAAAAAGAAGGCAGTTTGTCATGGACAGCAAATGGGTCCTTTGAAGGATTCACATAGCTGAACAATAGACAATAGCTCAATCCTTTGAAGGACTCACATTTGTTGAATCATTTGTTCAGCCTATCTCTTTTGGGGTCAGCCTCCCAGAACCGTTGGTCGTGTGGCGCCTCAGCTCAGGAGTTGAGAGGGTTTGGCAGTAGACAAACAGAACTATATTGTCTATACGTATCTTGTCAATGATTCAGAAAGCTTGCCACACAAAAGGCTTTAGAAACAATAACTCTGTGAAAATCATGCGAAAAGTTTTTTGTTCACAGGCTGTGGAAAAAAGTACTTTTCCTTTTAAAGTAAAAGGAAGCCATTTTTTCACAGGATGTGAAAAAAGTACTTTTTCACATGATTTTCACAAGCTTATTTTTGCTCACAAGATTTTCATAACTTTTGAAAGGACTGATGTCATGTCCTGATGCCTTCAATGATATCAAAGACATTCTAAAAGGAATAGAGTCAATGCCACCCATGCTGGGGTCATTTAGTCACTCACTGTCACAGTCGTTGAAGCGTTTTGCATTTGGTGAGGTCAAATTCCTTCCTCTCAACCTTTGCAAGTTTGGTGGCTCAGCTCAGGGGTTGAGGATTGGCATTACACTTAAACACTAGGTGCGTTGATCCTTTGAAGGGTTCAGACAGCTTACCATGAAAAAGCAATAGCTCAATCCTTTGAGGGGTTTGGCAGGGCTTGTCGTCACACCAAAGCAGTAGATTGGTCCTTTGAAGGAATCAACATTTTCAAAGAGACAATGAAGTCTAATTATTGAAGTCTGGGTCAGACTTGCTGAGAAGCGTGTTTTCAGTTTTCTGTCAGTGTCAAAGGCTGCTGGTGTGATTTGCACCTACTGAGGCCCACCTTCCTTTGCAAAACGTTTGGTGGTTAGGTGCAGGAGTTGAGAGCTTGGCATCAGACCTAACCAGTAGATTGATCCTTTGGAGGAATGAGACACATAACCAAAAACAATAGGTTCATTTTAGCAGTCAATGTAAAAACTGTTGGTGTGATTTGTCTCTTGCTGTGTGGATTTTTTGCTATTCAGCTTATTCAGCTTCAAGCTACAACTTGAGTAGTGTTTTTCAATCCAGCCATCAACCATGGGCAAGCCAAAAGCTGCTCCCAAAAAGGCTGAAAGATGAAGAGATAGAAGATTCAACCCGAAAAGATCTCAATGCGATGCTGAATGGCTTGAAGTACAGAAGGGGTAAGAAAGGTGAAACAAATGCAAGTAAGATCCTTGAGGTGGGGCCTCACAAAAACAAATCTATTCTTTCCATTCTCACAGACCTGACCCCTTTCGAAGGGCTTGCCATAAATAAACACACATACATATGATTAAATTAGCATATGCATGTTACATGAAAAGTTTATTTGTAGTAAAACTATCGTGCAACATAGTCGTGAAGTGTTACTTCCTGCCAGGCATACAACCAAATGACCATGGATGAAAAGAAGGCTTTGCTTGGGCGCTACAAGAGTGAGGGTGGCTTGAAGAATCTTCAATGGGTCAGTGAGTACCTTGAGACAGTGACTGACACTACTGAGAAGAAGGATGTGGCTGAGAGCGGTTGGATGACACCAGGGCAAATCTCTATTTTGAATGGTTTTTTCTGGGAACAAACCGAAGAAAAGAAGAGAAACAAGATGTTGGAAGCTCTTCTCCAGGAGTGTTGAATATGGTATGGACAAATCGGATGAGTGTACCAAGAATAAACATGCGCGAGAGGACACAAACAAAGTCGACCAGACCATGAAGCTGCGCACCAACCTTGGCATGGCCACCATGCAAAAGGCGATTGGCAATGCATCAAGCAGTGATGTCAAATTGAAAATTGAGAACCCAAGCTGGGTGCAGCTGAACTCACAAGTTCAAATTGCAGGTGCTCTGAAGGCCAGACTTGAAAAACAAGTCTTTGAATGCAGCGCCTCTCACAAAGACTTGGAGGCCAGTGGCAAGCCAGAGTTCAAAGAGTTTTTGAAGAATGTGGGAGAGGCTCTGGGCAAAGCCGAGGCTGCGCTGGCTTCCTTGAGGACCAACTTGGCTCAGGGAAAGGACATGCTGGTCTCCAGTGACAAGGCAGACTGCTCTTCTTTGAAGAAGCTCTTGGAGGTTGACACCAACAATGGCTCCATGCACTTGAATAGCCTGAAGGCTTCGCGCAAGCGCCTGAAGACATTTATGACCTGAGCGCCGTTGACCTGAGTTTGTCCATAGAGTTCCATGGCATGGATGACCTGTCAAGCTCAGAGAGCACGTGTCCTCTTCAATATGCTTCTGGAAGGAAAACTGTGTTTCTGCTCGCCTTCTGGCACTTCTAACGCAATCCTGTAATGCGGTGACAGAAAATGAACCATTGCCCAGACCAAGGCTTTGTGCACTTCACTTCGATGAATTTGCCTTCACACACAATTAGTCTTGTCCTTTAGAGGACATCACATCCAATTACTATTTGTCCTTTGAAGGACATCACACCCACATAGTTTTGTTTTGGGTGATTCCATGAATTCCATGTTGCATTTTGGATCCACAGTCCTGTTGTTTCCGATGCCAAAGACAGCATCAAGGATGCCACTTTGACAGCTGAGTGGAGATCCCAAAGAAGACATTTCTTTGATCATTTGGGGCAAGCTAAGCACATTTCTGGAATTTTCAAATCTCCTGGCATTTCTCTGTCGACATTCCAAATTGATTGGCTGCGTGTGGTAGACCTGCGGGTTGCTGCAGATTTTGCTGGCAATCTCACGCGCCATGTTCTAGACCGGTTTCCAGGAGCCACCCCCAAGCAGCAGTGCAATTCTATGCACAGAAGCATTGTAGATTTCTACAGAAGAACCGATGAACTCAACGCCTTGACACCTGGAATGTTGAGGACAGGGTCCAAGAAAGGAGGCCAAAGCAAGCCTAAATTGAGAGCCAGTGATGGAGAAATGAGAAGTTTGATTCCTTGGCTTCTGGAACTGGCAGAAAAAACGGAGGACTCTTGGGAGAACACTGTCCTCCAGGCCGCTCATTTGCTTTGGCAAATGTACGATTGTTTATCACAAAATTCATTTTGCCAAGCTACCTTCAAGGAACTCACTAGAAAGTTCCCGCTTCTTTATCTGGCTCTGGAACAGAGCAGTCCTGAAGGGCTGTGGAAGTTCAAGCCTAAATTCCACTTGCTGCAAGAGTTGGCAGAGTTTGACCAAGTTCTTCCTTCTTTGTCTTGGACCTACAGGGATGAAGACTGGGGGGGATCTGTGGCAGCTGCCCCTAAAAGGAGAGGGGGAACCAACTCTGCTCATAGTACTTCTTGGAAGAATGTCTTGATGAAATTCAGAGCCCAGAACTTGGTGCCTGGGTGGCCCATCCAGAGGTGAAAATCATTTGTTGCAGATCAGCAACCTGGGTTTCAGGCCACCAGGTGTTTAGCAAATTCAAAAGTTTGGCATGATTGAAGTAAAGTTGACAAGATTCTTTTGCCAATCCTTTCAGGATTCAGGGGAGAGAGTTTTGCATTTGCGCATTCACTTCAGGAATCCTTTGGAAAGTTTTTCACCTCAGTTGACACACCAGGAACCCTTTGAAGGATTGAGGTGGGGTGTTGCCCAATCCTTGATGTTTTGCATTAGGGTTCTATACCAATCTTTTGGAAATCCTGTGAAGGATTCCGGCTGTGAAAGATTTTCGAATCCTGTGAAGGATTCACTTCAATTTTTGATGAAAACAACAACATCTAGACACGTTAAAAAGACACCTTAAATTAGCGGGTCTAGACTCCGTATTTTGTTATATCAGACTCCTTAAATAAATGGTCCAACTAAATTCGGGTTCTAGGAGGTTCAGGGTAATGGCGTTGGCCGCAATGGCCGACCTAATACCGATGGCGTCCGACCTATAATACCCATGGCTCCAAGGCTCCAACCTACTAGCGATGGGCTGCAACCTAATGGCGTTGGCCTCCAACCTACTAGCTAATGGCCTCCGACCTAATACCGATGGCGTCCGACCTAATACCGTTGGCTCCAACCCAATAGCAACCTAATGGCGTTGGCCTCCAACCTACTAGCAATGGCCTCCAACCTAATAGTGATGGCCTCCAACCTACTAGCAATGGCCTCCAACCTACTAGCAATGGCCTCCAACCTGAGCAATGGCCTCCAACCTACTAGTGATGGCAGCAATGGCCTCCAACCTACTAGTGATGGCCTCCAACCTACTAGCAATGGCCTCCAACCTAGTAGCACAATGGTCTCCAACCCAAAAGCAATGGCCTCCAACCTCATGGCCTCCAACCTAATAGCGATGGCCTCCAACCTCATAGCCAGGCCGTCCAACCTCCTAGCGATGGCTTCAAACCTAGTAGCAATGGTCTCCAACCTAATAGCAATGGCCTCCAACCTAGTAGCAATGGCCTGCAACCTAGAAAAAGAGAATGCGAGGCAGACTTTTTGCAACCGGAACTCCGGTGCTGAGGTCTTTGGCATCTGTACAACCTCGTGGATCAACGAGCGAAAAATGTTTTATCTCCTCACAGCTGTCCAACCTGAGTCCAAGAGCGGACCAGAACCACATCTCCGTTGATGACACCGGATGCTGGCAAAGCTGCAGAACCCTACAAGCCTCTTACCTCGTCTTACCACACTAACAGTTAAACGACTAATCGGTCGTGGGAACCTTCTTCTTCGTCATCATCTGACTCCATTCCTGGCACAATCAATCCACTTCTAGAAGGCAAAAGCACCGGTGCCAGTCAAGCATTGATCTTCAAGTCTCACAACCTACCCGGTACCCGGGTACCCTATGGTTGGCTTCAGCCTATTGCTATTAGGTTGGAGGCCATTGCTACTATAGGATGGAGACCATCGCGACGAGGGTGGTACTAGGGTGGGGGCCATCGCAAGTAGGGTGGAGGCCATCGCTACTAGGGTGGGGACTGATGAACCAACAAGTTCACGAGCCGTCCAAAAAAGCACGGCCGCTTTGCGTCACTGATAGCACTATGGCACTCCCTTCCCGTGACCCTCGCGCCGTTTCCGTTCGCGGGCACTTGAGTCGGAAAGGCAACTTAATGCCTGGCATGATGAACTGAACAGTTAACTTCACACTTCTCGATTTGTGCGTGTCAACACTCCCCCTCTGGCATGCCGTTAGGCCTTGGCAGCCAAGGGAAAACATTCCCTTCAAAATTCAAGTTTCCAGCTCAAGTTGCCTTTCAAGGCTGTTCAACCTGTGCAGCTGGTGCACGGTGCTTCTCGGACAGCTTCTGTTCACATGGGCTTCTGCGCCCCAGCTATTGGTGCATAGCGTGAAGCTCGTGGACCGACCAACAGGATTGGCGCAAAGTGGGCACCATTTCGATTGTCTCGCCAGGCCCGTTCTTGCAAGGGCCTGAAGGTACTCGCAGCTTCCCTTGGTGTACCTCGTTGCGAGGATTGGATCCTCCTCTTCATTGGCTCAGTGTGACTTGGTGCAGCTGCAGTGCTGCGCGCTCGACCTCCACCTCTTTGGATCGAGCTTGATGTAGCATTGGCAGATCCCGCACCTTCATCCTCCTCTTTTCTTTTCTGTTTGTTATTTCTTTTTTCTTTTCTGATCTTTTCTTTTCTTCTTCATACCTTTTCATCCTTTCTCGCACACCCATTGGTTGGGTAGAGCTCGTGTCCCAGCTGCTTGACTGGGAGGCGCAATGCCAGAGAGAAGTCCTGCAGTCCTCTGTGGCGTCAACTGCATGGGCGATGACAGGTCTTGTGGCCGAGGGATTTCAAGGGTTCCCTCTCCTTCTTCTTCACTTTCTTCTTCGTCATCTTTATTCTTCTTCACCTTTAGGGCCTTCATCTTTCTTCCGTTTCTTGGTGGTGTTTTGGGAGGACTTCGTGCTTCCGTCGATCTTTCTTCACTTTGCGACGGAAACTACTTCCGCAGTACTCCCTCCTTCAGGATCCACCAGCAGAGCAAAGTGGCACAGATCACCAGGACGGCGTAGACCTTGAACACTGATTGAACCGATGGCCAACTGGACTTCGCCTTGCGCTCGAGGGCATTGGGTCTCGCCCAGCTTGATGTCACTGGGCTTCGTCCGTTCGGGGGACGGCCGACGACCGGTCTTGGCTGCAGTGAGTGATGCAGCAATTATCAAAACCTTGATGACCGTGGCGGTCTTTTCTTTCACTGCAAACATCCGTCCTTCTTTTTTTGCTTCTTCCGGTGACTTCCCCTTTTTCTCTTCAACTTTCTCTTCGTTCTTTGCGGCGGTGACCATATTGGTCTTCATCTTCAAAGTCTCAAGGCGAGTGGAGATGAGAGCCTTTGTGCCGATGTCAGCAACCATGTCCTTGCCTGGGATATGGCCAACGGTCCAAAGCCCTAATCGCCTGTCTGGCGAAGGCTGACGTCTTGCGAAGATGCCTGGTTCGCCAGCTTCCACCTTCATTGGTCAAGATTGACAGACTAGACTGGCTGTCTGTCCACGCCAGTCGGGGAACACGGCCAATATCATCGATGACAACTCCCATGGATTCTCCAGCGACCATTCCTTCAACCAGTTCATTGAGTTCAGCTTCGGCTGTGGACAGTGTGGTCGCCGACTGTCGACCGCACCGCCAAAAAACAGGATTCTGACCGATCGCGACGACGCAACAGCCGTGTGACTCCTCGGCACTGGGCGCACAGGAGGCGTCCGCGAAGACATTGAGCACCAACTCGTCAACTTCATTGGTGTCATATACTTAATGCCTTGGCCCTTGGTGGCAATCAAGTAGCTTTTGGCTTGTATGCCAGCTTCTGCCACAGCCATTGGGTTCTTGAGGATGTTTGAACCCATCCTGGAGACCGTGTACATGAGATCTGGACGTGTGCTTGTAACCAACCGCAACAATTCGCCGACCACCTTTTGAACATTCTTGATGTCCACCTGTGAAGGTGTGGACTCGGCCTGCTCGATGTTGGACTGGTCGCGAGTCATCGGGATCTTTCTGGGCTGCAGCTTCTCAGCTTCACTTCCAACAGATCTTCAAGGTAATAGGCCTGCGAGATCATCCGGCGGTATCGACCGGACATTGGATTTTGAGACTTCCATGCCAAGAAACTTGATGGGCATGTTCCACAACCAAGGAGGTCTTCTGAGGCCATATACCACCTCTTGAGGCAAGTAGTAGGTGCCCTTTTCCATGAACCCTCTTTCCACGAAGCAGGCGGGCGGCAGCACAAGGATCAGGCGCTCATCCCCTTGAAGGTCATGTCCGCATTGAGAAAAGCGGTTTTCACATCCAGGCTTATTCCTTCCCATTGGTAGTAGGAAGCCAATAAGATTATGATCCTGAACTCCGAGGTGTCGGCGCCACCTGAATAGTTTGACTCATCCGGCTGACGGGTCTCGAAATTTCCACAAATGACACAGCGGACGTTCCGCTTGCCGCCATTTTTGCCCGGCTTCTTGGCAAAGACCATTTGGAAGGTATCAGTTGAACTTTAAGTCCTCTTTCTTTCGCCTTCTGCATGAAGGCTTGAACTTGATCAGCTGGAAGCGGCGCGAGGGCTTGTTTCTCCGCAAGGGGTGAATTGACCTCGTCTTCTGCCGAAGGCTTCCATTTCTTCCATACTTTTGCCACCTCTCGAGGTGAGACGATCTTGGTTTGAAGAATTTATTCTTCTTCATGGCCGCTTTCTTCCGAAGTTTCCCCAAGATGAGGATTGAGCATACGGCCAACTGTGGATCATCTTCGTGTATCTTCTTCTTTTGTTCTTCTTCCAGAACTTCTCTCATCTTTCTTCGATTCACCTTCTGCTTTTCTTCTTCTTCTTCAAAGGCTCCTTGGATCTTCTTTGTCGTGGTATTTTCTCGTAGTCGCCGTCGAAGAGTGAGGCCATCTAGAAGTTCTCGTTCAAGGGCAATTCAATGCCCTTCAGTTGGACGTTCATTGATCTTCTTCGTGATGCACCTGGTCAGACGAGGACATTCGCCTTCCTTGCAAACCCAGTGTCTATGATTTTCAGCCGATGGGATCAATTAGTCTATACAGTTTGCATGGTAGGACCCAGATCTTCTTTCTGCCATCTTCGCTTCCTCGCCAACACTGGTTCCATGAATGTGGGGGGTCTGGTTTCTCATAGATTCGATCGCAGCGGAGCACTTCATTCATTGACATATCTAGCGGCCCATGGCCACCACCACTTTGAGTCTTTTCCTCCTTGATGTAGCGCCTTCCGGATCATGGTTTTGGCTCTCTTGACAGCTGACTCTGCTCGACCGTCGCTTGCGGCACCACGTGGCAAAATGGCCAGCGAACTCATGTCTTTGGTCCTTGACTCCGTTGTTCACAGTCCTTCCCTCCAGTCTGCTGCCAAGCACGTCCCAACGTGAATCCTTCATCAGGTCCAGCATAAAGATGAACCTTGAAACCATCTCTTTTCATTTTTTCTTGCTCTTCGGTTGACTGGAAGTCCATTCCATGGTCCTCGGTTCACGATGAGCTCCTCCTTGATGTCCTCGGGGAGGCTGGAAAGTGTGGGATGTGAAGCCACAACATCCCTCAACCACTTCGTTTCTTCACCATATTTTTCCACCTCCTTGAACTTCATCCCACGTTTGACCTGTTCCAGTTCTTCGACCAACTGGATTGCCAGCTTCTTGGGATCAAGATCTTCGACCGGAAGAGTTCCATGCCTCGGATGGGTGACTTCCAATTGTCCCTGAGACCAGGAGATAGCGCATCCAAGGTCACCGTGGCGAGCAATCCCACGCAAATGATTGGCTCGATGTCCTCATCTTCTGCAATCATGATAGATCTCCTTGTTTTCTCCTCGTTTTGCTGGACGTAGTGGATGGGTTGCCTACCTTTTCTCCTTTCTTCATTCTCATCAACCTGAACGCCTTTTGACGCAAGAGTTGACGCTGACCCCCTTGGCTTGATGGAGAATTGGACGATGCCGTTGGGGAGCTGTTGAGGGGCTTCAGCATCTTGTTTGCCTCTTCGAGCAAGTCCTTGACATTCGGGGTGGGGCCTGTCTCCTTTCCATCATCTTCTGGCTTTGCTTCTCCCTTTGAAGCTCTTCGTTCCAACCTGGCCCACTTCTTCTGCTTCAAGGCTGGAGGGATTGTCGGATGATGTTGTAGTCGCTCAAAAAAGTCTTGCTGATATGGGAGTGGTACCAGCTTTTGGCGGTCTCAACAACGCACTGCCAGAACTACTGCTGAGGCCACCCATCAAAGGACAGATCGCGAGGAGCCAATCGGAGAAGTCGATACGTTTGAGGAGGAAGGGTGTCTCCACCTCACCTTCTTCATTTTGGGAATCCCTTTGACCTCCTTTTCTCTCTCCACTTCTTGAAAGTGGTTCCGGGTCTTCTTCAGCTCCGACTTCCTCCCTTCTTCCCACTTTTGGCTCTTCCTCCCACCCTGAACTGCCATTCGGAGTGGCAAGAGGCCATCTTCTTGTGGTTCACCTTGAAGAGCAAGTCGACGTAGATCACCTCGCAACCGCTTGTTTTCTTCGATCACTTCACGGAGATGTCAAAGACGTGGTTTCTTTTTTCATCGCGCTTCTTTTGTTCCATCATCACCTGAGTTGTCTGTTCTCTCAGGCCTTGGTTTTCCAGCATCAGTTGCTGGATGTACCTATTCAACTGGTCTTTCTCAACTTCTTGTTTCATGTGCTCCTCGAGCATTCTTTTCTCTTCCACTTCCTCTTCATCTTCCATCTTTAACCTTCTAGGCCTTCCTTTTACATCTTGCTCAATGAAAGCCGGTCGCTGAACAGAGGATTGAGGAGTCTGGAACTCTGAGTAAAGCCAGGGGGCTTGTTGATACATGTCACGCAAACCACGAAGTTGCTCGGCGGAAAAGAACGGAGTCTGCTCTTCAGGTGGGGTGGACATAGACCTTCCTTTTCTTCTGGGTCTTGTTGTTGCTCCCTTTCCACCCCTCCCTTCTGTCTTGCCCTTGATGCCAGGTCCCAGAATCTTCGGTCTTCCGGGGTCTTCAATTCAGCTTCGCTTCCCTTTCTTTCAGGCTCTTTCTTTTGTCCTGTCGGCTTTGGGGTCCTGGCTGACGGCTTGAAGCCTTGGAATCCGAGGTCCTGGGCTGACTATCCTCAGTGGCCAAGGCTGCAGAGGTCGATGGCGTGCCCTGGACAGGAACCAGCTGGGTTTTGGTCTCTTCTTCTAGTCCCCCATCTTCTAAAGGCAGTTCACCCCGCTCTTTGGCCTCAGCCTGCATTCTTTGGTGGGCAGCTTCGATCTGCCTTTGGCCCTCCTCAAGCTCTTGAGGAGTAGCTCTTCTTCTTCTTCTTCCTCTCCTTCTTCTTCTTCTTCATCTTCTTCTTTGAGTGAGCGAAGACATCGCCAAAGCTCAGCACAGGGCCGGCCTTGATGAACCAAGAAGTTCACGAGCCGTCCAAAAAAGCACCTCCGCTATGCGTCACTGATGGCGCTCCCTTCCCACAACCCTCACGCCGTTTCCTTTCGCAGGCGCTTGAGTCGAAAAGGCAACTGAACACTTCACACTTACTCGATTTGTGCGTGTCACACTCTGGATTTGTGCGTGTCAACAGAGACAATCGCTAATAGGGTGGGGCCCTGGAGGCCATCGCTACTAGGGCGGAGTCCATCGCTACTAGGGTGGAGGCCATCGCATCGCTTCTCGACGTTCGTCGTTGCGCCTCCAAAGCGGTTGGCCACCGCAAGCTTCTTGACTGGGGCCTTGGCATCCTTCGCCTTCGGCGCTCCTTGAGCCTTCGGTTTGGGCTGCGGCTTGGCCTTCGCGGCCTCCCGGAACTTGATGGGGTCCATGGCCTGACCGGTCCAAGCTGAAAGCCTTGTGACATCTTGTGACGAAACTTCAACATGAACGTTCCAAATTTGATCTCATCTACTGAGGCTGCGCGTTTTCTGCGTCCGCCTTGGTTTTCCACGGATTGGCACCAGTGAGGCTACTACCCACTGTTTCTTCACAAGGTGAGTTAGACTACCAGTGCACTTTTCAACATGAAGCACAGCGCACTCTTGTCTGCGGCACTTGGTCCAGTGTCTACTTACTAAAGACTTGTTTCATGTGTTTTTGGTTTCGGTTGGGGCTTCGTTACAAGTTACAAGTCACTCCATATTAACCCTCCAAATCCTGAAGACAAGACCATCTAAAAGAAGTCTCTGCCACTATTTTGCATAAAAGCTTAACGCTAGAGCTTTGGAGTCCCCCATGCGCCTTCTTACACAGAATGGTTTGGGTGGAATAAGTGAAATTGTTTTAAAAAGCTTTGTGTCGAAGACAATCCTGACAATCCTGTTCAATCCTTCATTACGTCATCTCTGCAAAGGGCCATATAGAATGAAAGTCAGGGCGGGGATTCTCTCAAAAGGAAAGCCCAATCATTACAAAATTCTATAAAACACTCCCTGCGAATGGGCGGCGATGGTTTTCCACACGAAACATGTGGTCTCGCTTTTGCTTTAAGGCTCTGGAGCGGTTGGCGTTTGGAGCGCTGTGACTCCAATTCTTTACTTCCTCCGACAAGAACTCTCGACGCAAACGATGCTAGCCGTTGCTGAATCGACGTTCACGAAAGAACCCAACTTGGCATGCTCGTCAATGCTGACGGCGCCATTCTTGGGGACACGTTCATCATTGGAGCCTGAGGTGCTGCGACCTTTGTCGTTTGTCCATTGGCTCCATTGGCCACACCTCATGGCCGATGCTGGCACGGAAAAAGCGTTTCAGCTCCACTGTGCTGAGATGGCCACTGCTTTCAACCTGAGTCACCTGATTTCAGTTTTTCATCAAATTAGAGCACTTAGCAAAACTGAAATCCCGCAAATACGTTCAATCCAAGCAATTATGTTGGTGGGTGTGCGCATGGACATTGAATGCTTGACATGGCTTGACTTTCTTGCTGTTACCCAAGCCTTGGCTAAAGCTTTTTCCTGCTTCCTCCGTTCCGCTTCTCGCTGTTTCTCCCTGTTGGCCTCTAATTCCGCTCACAGACTGAAGCAAGGATAAAGGAAGGGCCTGAAGGCAAGGGCTGATTTTTGCAAGGCTTGACCAAGTAGAACCAGCAGGACCTATTGCTTCATGGCACCGACGCAAGAACCCCTTCTGCTGCCCAGCACCAGGCTAGCCTTTTCGATGGCCAACGATCTGTCCTGGCACATGAGGAATATCGGAAGATCCTACTGCGCAATCATCCCGAAGATGAAAAGGGCAACTCTGCTGCAACACATCCCGCATCATCTCGCCTGGATTGCTTGCCAGACCTCCTCATCAAAATGCTGAGCAAATTCACCAGCAGACTGTGCAAGGTCTCGAGCTTGCGCCTGTGGAGTCGTCCACAAGGACGACTTAGTCAACTTAGAAGATGCTTTGCTGAAATTCCTGTTCACTTCGACTTTGGTTCCACAATCCAACAACCAAAGTCAAGAAGGTTACGGCCTCTGAGACGCATAAATGTTCTGCCACTGCAGAACAGGTGCACGCGTAGGAGAGCACTGGCGCATCCTCAGGCACATCAGTGCAAACAACGTCCTTGTACTTTTGAAAGAGCATGGTGACAACTAATAGACAACAGCGCTAATAGACAAAGAAAGCGAAGACGCCGTATGATGTTGAGTGCAAAAGTTCATGCGGCCCATGACTGCTCGCCCTTCACTGCTACAATGGCGTCAGAAGCGGCGGTTGTTAGCACTTCACTGTCAGAAGCGGGCACCAGCACCGAGCACCGGCACGCCAGCTCACGGCACCCAGCACCAGCACCCAGCACCAGCACCCGGCACCCAGCACCCGGCACCCTGTCTCCACCACGTGCACAGCCAGCACCGGCACCACCACCCGGGCTCCACCACGTGCACAGCCAGCACCCAGCACCGGCACCGGCACCCGGTCTCCACGTGCACAGCCAGCACACAGCACCAGCACCGGCTGTCTCCACCACGCGCGCAGCCAGCAGCACCAGCACCGGCACCCAGCACCAGCACTGGCACCCTGTCTCCACCACGTGCAGTCTCGAAAGCGTGCACAGGCAGCTCATTGTTGTTTGAAGTAAGAACCCCATAGCTTCGCTATCTGGGGAAAAATTTTTCGAAAAGAAACGTGTTTTCAAAAATGAATATGTGCTCTTCTCCTCGCCTTGGGAGCTTCAACTCGTGGTCGTGGATTGGGTCGTGGTGCGGGTGCTGGCTTCGGCTCCTGTGGGAGCAACAAAGCTCTGGAGTTCCAAATCTGTTTGGGAGAACTAGTAGCTTTTTGCTACTAGTAGCAATGCCCTTGTTACTAGTAGCGATGGCGATGCCCGTGTTATTAGTAACTAGTAACTAGGTGCGTTCGTGACACTACAGTATATGAAACAGGTCTTGATTTATTGTGTTCACTTTGTTGAGCTCAGATTTCACTGTTTTGGCAGGTGTCCACAGTCCTCCGCGTATAGACGAGTTTGAGACAAACACAGTGGGATTGAACAGGGCTGTTGTGCACGCGCTGGGTTTTGGCACTCAAAAGGTGTGGAAGCACTCAGAAGCATCATTCCCCTGCATGACTCAAGACCCACAGCCTTCACAAAGAGGAAGGGCACAGGAAGCTCCCAGCAGACACAAAACACACTCGACGACCCGCAACATAAAACATCATAAAACCACATCTGCGAGATCCCCATGCGCCCATGGGTCTTGTTTTCGCGAAGCATTGAGATCAGGAAGGTCTGCGCAATGGGCTCCGCCCTGGTAGCGATGGCCTCCACCCTAGTAGCAATGGCCATGTGCAAACCAAACTTGTCTACTTGCACCCCCAGATTTCTTGAGCATGTGGATCACTTCTGCTCATCAAATTGGCAATGTTTGCGCTCATCCCGTTCGGGGTCAGGGTCCTGGGTTTTATTGGTTGTGGGGTTCCGTTGGGTTTGAGCAACAAGAAGCAGGATCAACCATGCCAGCTTGAAAATGTCCAATTCAAAGGCTCCAAGCCTCAGGGTGCTGTGCTTCCATCCGCACCTCGCGTCAGTAAGGCTGGCAAGAAATGGGCATTCAAAAGAACCTTGTCCTGTTGCCCTTGTTCAAGGAATCTTTTTGGACCTTACAACTTACAATCCACTCCTAGTAATAAACGAAGGTAGTGACATGGAGTCCAAGACCAAAGGCCTTTTCACATTCACTTCCTTATAATCCTTTGACCAATCGAACCACAATCAAAAAAGGCATGAGCAAAAAGAAACAGGTGTACAAGGAAAATGTTTAAACATGTCTCAGCAAAAGAAAACAGTGATCTCAAGGCAGGACATAAACTCTGTGTTCCGTTGGTTTGACTTGATCGTTCGAAATCCCTCCCCTCACTTGCTCGGTGTTTTTCCCCACCTGTGCAGCCAACTGCGCCTGTCTCAGCGCTGCTGGTGGTGGCTGCTTGGGATACCCTGCGGGCGCCGCCTCTCGGATTGGCCACCGGTTCTAACAAATCCCCCAACACCATGTTGGGAGGCAGAAGAAGAGCGTTTCACATGTGTTCGGCCTGAGCTGGCTCAGGTTTCGGTCTCCGACCCAAAATGCGCCTTGGTGCTTACAGCTGGGTTGGCCACCTTTCCAGGCGCCTTACATCGGCGACGTTGACAGGCGCAACATCTGCGAAGTCCAGGCCTTAGCGCTCTTGGCCAGCCGCGCTTCTGTCGCTACAGCCGCAGCACCCCTGGACAAGACATCCAACCCAACTGACTTTGACGTTGATGTGGGACGAGGCCTTTCTTTCTCCTCGGTCAAAGGGGCTACAGCTGCGGTGGCCCGACGCTGCTGCTGTTGCTCCACCAGACCCCTGGCGCTGAAGAGGTTGGGAACACCACAGCCGTTCCACGGATCTTTGGAATTCAGGACATGCTGAGTGGCCTCGCTTTCTCCACCTTTTGCTTCCCTTCTTCGAAGGCTCTTTTCAACGCCTTAATCTCATCCACGGAGAACCTCGGTGTTGTCAGTAATCACTGACAAAACACACGGTCAGGTCCACTGGGAATCGCTTCGAGAAAAGTGCGCGACATCTTCTTCCCTTTCTCCCATCCTCACCGCACCAGCAATGCCAAGCGCCACGTAACCGCCCAGTGGACGCCGATTTTTCGTTTCTGAGGCCCTGGCGCTCGTAGTTCTTCGTCGCTTCCTAAAGACCGCAAACAGACTTGGGCTGGAGGGATCAAAGAAAGGGAACAAAACGACAAGTTCCTGACAAAGGTTAAGAAATCAAGAAAAAATGGATTCAAAAACGGAATCTATTTAAAAAATGCACATCTCGGACTTGAAAGGGTCTAGTGGTTCCCAGTGCCTCAAAGGCTTTCTCAGCCTTGGCAAGGTCCTGTCGCGCCTGAAGCAGCCAAGAACATGTGAAAATCAATTTCTCTCTTATTTTCTGCCCGCTGCCCCGCCTCCCTACTTAATTGAGTAGGTGCCTACCGAAGCTACTGAAGCTACTACCTACTGGACGCAGGATAGCTCACGCTTCTTCAAGGAAGCTCTCCCAGCCTGAGGGCGGGGAGGAGCTTCCTTGAAGAAGCGCTCACACTGATCATTGGTTCCTAATTTTGGGTGAAAATTAAATACTCGGTGTTCCCGACACGCCGTACATGAGCAGGGTCTTCCTTTGAAGCCGCGCCCTGCAAAGGAAATGCTGCCAAAAGTACGAGAGTCCAATCGCTCTCCAACCTCAACGCCGGACAAAAGCTCCTGAAGCTTCATCTTCTTCGCATCAGCTCCTGTCCAAGAACACCCTCCAGGATGTAGCTCTTACAGCCCATTCTGGCCTTTGGCTGCATCATCCACCGACTTGATCTGTGTTTGCAAAAACCTCTGCACAAGCTGCATTGCGCTGATGGGTTCCAAACATGTCGCAAGCCACGAACTTAACCTAATGTGTTCAAGAAGCTGAACGAAAAGATAGGTGCGATGGCAAAAATACAAACAAGCAGGTTGGCAAGGTTCTTTTCGTGCACTGTGTCCTACCTTTGCTTCTACCCGCACTGGGTCTTGATGCGCCCTGAGGGGCGTGATGGGCCCTGAGGTCCTGGCTCTTTTGCAACCTTCTTCTCGAAGGAAAAAATGCCGGAACTGGCCCCCTCAAGCAAATTTAGGATTTCTAGGAAGCTTTTAATTCTAATTGAATTCTAATTACTAATAGCTTCTTGTTACTATTATTACTAGTAAGGCACTTTTTACTAGGAGCTTATTGTTTCTATTCAAGCAACTCGGAAGCTTTGTCACCATCTTGTGCAAAACGTCATAACACGTGCCAGATCGCTGAGCCGGAAACCTGCAACTCTTCGAAAAGTGCCTTCTTCACATCGGTTTCAGTGGCAAGTAACGCTGCCTGGCCGCATGTTTCCATTGAAACTGATGTTTGCACAAAAAGAGGCAGAGCCTGCTCATCGTCCGGACTCTTGATGCCTTTGATGTGATCAACCTGGTGCCATGCATTAAGTTTCTCTTGGGAAGCCACTGCTATTCGGTTGGAGGCCACCGGGAAGGTCAATCTACCAAGGCTTGGGTCTCGGCGTGAAATGAACTGAATAGACTACGAGGGAGCAGTCCATAGATAGCAGCGTTTGGGTGGCTTTGACAGGTGCACTGATACGGTTGGGGATGCAATCCATCATTGTACGGGGAGACACTTAGTCTTACAGTTGAATTGGTGCCGTCCATTATTGTAGGGTGATCCGTTGGGGTATGTTGATTATTGATCCGTTGTTGCGGCATATGTAGATACCCATCGCAAGTAGGTTGGAGGCATCCCTGGTCTCTCCTCCCCATCCCCATCACACCTCTTTGAGGCGAGCAATCAAGCCGCTCAAGGACAGCTCGCTGATGGAGGGCGGCGACATCTCTCGGCTAATTATGTTAAGCTTGTGGAATTCCTAGAGAGTTGGTGAGCTTTGAAGCACAGGTGACTTTGAGGGGGTGCAGGGTCGTAATACTTGCGTAGTTGCTTAGCGGCGAGGCTGGCAATCAAAAGGATGAAGGCTGGATTTGGTCTTAGGGTTCTTGTAAAAGCAAGGATGCTACTAGGGGCTCCTGGCATAGCTACTAGGAGCAAGGACGTTACTAGGGGCTCCTGGCATAGCTACTAGGAGCAAGGACGCTACTAGGTCTTTGAAGCTTTCTAGTAACTAGAAGCTACGAAGATCCCGCATGATCCCACGCTCTCCGGCTCTCCATGGGCGTCAAACACCATCCTTTTCGACTCTTTGGTCTTCGGGCGCTTGTCCGGTGGAGTCCGGGTGGAGTGGCAAAGCCAATCCTCCAAGTGGCTTGACACTGGTGGCTCAGGTGGCTCTGACTCTGGTGGCCAGGGGCCCCTGCAGACTATTAGCAGGAGAAACTGGGCAACCAAGATCCTGAGATATGACCTGGATTCTCAAGGTGGTTTCTCATCAACGGACATGCTCGACAAGAAGCGACGCAAGGCTCGCCTCTTCTGGTGAGCGAAAGTGTCCCGTCCTCACCAGCCCATCAGCCCATCTGATTGCTCGTCCTCATTGAGCCATCTCAGGTCGAGACCAGATCTTCTGGAGGGTCCGGCAACTCCTCCTGGAAACTTCGACACTTCGCCAACAAGGACAGTTGACAGAAGGGCCAATTGGGCACTGCTAAGACCTAGGCAAACAGGAAAGGACAGAAAGGTACTTATATATATATATATTATGAATATATATATATATATACACGCAGAAAAAATATATCTCTTTATAAATTGTATTATATTGGTACCAAAGTGTTTGTTTTCAATTGTCTGGGGTCACATGTGGGGTCAAAGGCCATGGCCACACCCTTGGTGTCTCTCCTCAACGCCCACATCGCCGGCACGAAACCCTGGCAGCGAAGGGATCTTGAAAACGGCGAAAAGCAGCTTCGTGGCGACAGTTGGAGCCAATGGGATCCGTTTTGGCCCATTTGGATGTTTAAAGTAACCATCGCTCATCGCTTTTAGGTTAGGGTATCGCCATTGCTAGTAGGTTGGAGGCCATTGCTAGTAGGTTCGAGGCCATCGCTCTTAGGTTGGAGGCCATTGTTCTTAGGTTGGAGGCCATTGTTCTTAGGTTGGAGGCCATTGCTAGTAGGTTGGAGGCCATCGCTCTTAGGTTAGAGGCCATCGCTCTTAGGTTGGACGCCATTGTTCTTAGGTTGGAGGCCACTGCTAGTAGGTTCGAGGCCAT